GGAGGTGGGGGTGCACTGGGAGGGCTGTGCTGTGGGGCATGTCTGGGGAGGTGGGGGTGCTGGGAGGGGCTGTGCTGGGGGTATGTCACAGGAGAGTGGGGGTGCTGGGAGGGCTGTGCTGGGGTATGTCTGGGGAGGTGGGGGGTGCTGGGAGGAGCTGTGCTGGGGGTATGTCTGGGGAGGTGGGGGTGCTGGGAGGCTGTGCTGCAGGTATGTCTGGGGGAAGAGTGAGGGTGAGCTGGGAGGGGGCTGTGCTGGGGGTATGTCTGGGGAGGTGGGGGTGCTGGGAGGGGGCTGTGCTGGGGGTATGTCTGGGGAGGTGGGGGTGAGCATGTGGAATGACAGCCTTAGCCCCAGGAGTCAATGGAGGGTGAGAAAATGAGCCTGGAGTGTAGGGGAGATGGGGTTGGGAGGTAACGGAGAAGCAAGTGGCACCAAAGTCACTAGGTGGATAGGTGTGTCTGTGGAGGGAGGAGGTCACCTTAGGGGCAGATGGGAGAGGCAAGGACACCTGGATGGCTAGGAGGGCAGTCTCTGAAGTCAGACAGCCTTGATTTGACTCAAATCTCTAACATCTACCTGTTTCTGGGACCTCAAAGAAACTCTGTAGACTCAGTTTCCTTCTCTGTAAAATGGGGACAAGAGGCAAGTACCTGCCTCATGAGGGCCCTGTGAGGACAAATGAGACAATGGGTGTGAAGAAGTTAGTGTCTGCCACAGAGATGGATGGTGGCCTTAGTAATCGGGATTTGTCGTCACCATCACCCTCATCCTCATCCTCGTGTTGCCATCAGTATATATGGGGAGGCCGCAGGTGTTACGTGGTAGAACAGGTGGGGCACACATTACAAGCACCTGCTACTCAGACCAGGTGTTTCTGATGCACACTGAAGTCAGAGAGCCTCGGACTTAAGATGCTGTGCAGTGCAGGGAGCAGGTGTGGGGGTGGCTGGGAACAGGTGACACGTGTCTAACACATGCTACAGGTGTTATGCACACGGAGGAAGGCGCTCCTCGAGGAGAGAGCTGGTTAGAGACACGTGCTAACAAAGGGGACCGGTGTTTCTGGAGAGAAGCAGGTTGGAGACAGGTGTGAGGGATCTGAAAGTTTGTTCCTAAAGATGTGGGGGTGATAGGCTGCAGGGACAGGTAGCGAAAGTGAATGTAGCAGAGAATGAGGCAGAGGTGTGCAGTGGGTTCACAATGCTTGCAAAAGGTGCAAAGGGACTCCGGTCACATGGATGTTTGGGGGGAGGAAAAGGAGAGAGGTGGCTGGAGTGTGGGGAGCCAGGTGCATGTCCACGGGACAGGGCTGTGTCCAGGAGAAGGCATCCCCTAGACCCAGCTGAAGACATGTGAAGCAAAGAGAGATTAGGTGGGGGTATGCGTAGGGGGTGTGAAGGCCTCGGTACCTGTTTGCTGAGGAAATGATTGAATGTGTTACCAGGACAGAGGATTCCCCAGGATAAACAGGTGAGGAACAGCAGGTGTAGGGGGTTACTGGTGTGACCTTGTGCAGCAAAAGAGAGAGAGAGAGAGAGAAACATGAGAAATTAGGTATGTGGGAAAGAAGAGAAGTGGATAGAGAGTACCTGAGGGACAGGTGTGGGAAAACAGGTATACAGGTGACGCAGATACCTGTGGCCAAGGACAGATTCCTGCCCCAAACCTGTGTCTGTGTGAAGTAGTGGTGTGTATAGTGAGAGACAGTGAGAGACCAAGAGAGGCAGAGACAGCGCTAGGAGTGAGATACAGGTGAGCAAGTGTGCAGGTGAGACAGGGAAACTGAGGGGACAAGGGCTTGGAGGAAGGCATGATGGCAGGGACGGCCATGAGGAGGGCACCAGTGTGTGGGTTGGAGATCAGGTGGTGCTCGGGGTTAGGACACAGGTGGGGAAGGTGAAGTGCTTCTGTTGTCTGTGATGAGTAACCTGAAATGACAAGTAGGAAAGACAGGTACGGGGGAGTCCTTGGAAGTCAGTGACGGTGTCAGGTACAGGTAGAGAGGGGTGTGAGCGGCAGTTGTGCTCTCAGGTGACCTGTCTGTGGCCAGCTCTTCCAGGAGGGCAGGTGTTGGGGTGTTGGGCAGGTGCAGCACTGTCACGGAGGAGGATGGGTGAGGGCCAGGAGGCTGGGGACTGGCGGGGGCAGGCCTTACCTGAGGGGACAGGTTAGCAGGTTGCACGTGTGAGTGCTTGTTTGCAAAGGAAGGAATGTGTGTGTGAGTGCGTGCACGTGTGGTGGCTCGGTACTGCTTGAGAGGAGGAAGAGGTGAAGAAATACGAATGTGTGAGGAACAGGTGAGTTTAGAGCTTTAGGGGACAGGTGGGATGGCTCATTTACAGGTAGGAAGGGGCCAGTGTGGCATGAAATGAGAAAAAATGCAGGGATTCCAGTGGAAGGGGCAGATTTTAGAGAACAGGTGTTACCTGGAGGGGCAGGTAAGAAAGGACATATGCTCCCCCGAGAGATCAGACATCTTAAGGGCAGGTGTGAGGGGGACAAGTGTTACCTGGAGGGGCAGGTGAGAGGAAATAGGTGTTACCTCCAGGGCAGATGAGGTATGGAGGACAGGTGTTGCGCACAGGCAGCTATGAGGAGACAGATGTTACCTGGAAGTCCAGATTTGGGGAGTGGAAGGGGGAACATGGGTGTGACAGGTGCATTGATAGACAGGTGTGAGTGAAAGGTTAGTTACCTGAGGCCACAGGTGGGTGCAGTGTGACTCTGCCAGATGGTCTGCTGCCTCGATTTCTCTCGCTCCCCTGCCCTCCCCTCCCTGGGGAGCCAGTTCTGGTTCTTGGGTCCCTCCCATGTCTCTGGCCCTCGGCAGGGCACACAGTTAGCTCTGGGCTGGTCGAGGCCCGGCCTGCCGGGGCTCCTGAGGCTGCTTGGCGATGCGGAGCGCGTCTGGGCCTCGGCGGGCCGGCCGGGCGGGGGGAGCGGGCGGGGGGGCCGTTTAGCCGTGATAGATCCGCGCGCCGCTTGTCTCTTAATCTCCGGAGCGACCGATCGATTCGCTATTTCCCTTTGTTGCCAGAAAATTCGATCCTGGGCCTGGAATTAGGTCCCCGGCTTAATCTGAGCGGAAACCAGTGAGGGGGAGACAGAGATGCTGGGAGAGACAGAGATGGAGAGACAGTAAGAGACAGAGAGAGACAGACAGAGATGCTGAGAGAGAAAGAGACACAGGGAGAGATAAGCACAGAGATTTAGAGAGAGAGAGGCTAAGAGTTGGACCCAAAAAGGAAGAGAGAGATGCTGCGAGAGACAGAGATAGAAAGACAGATCCTGGGAGAGTTAGAAGTGGACACAGAGATGCTGTGAGAGACAGAGACAGAGAGACAGTGAGGAGAGACCCAGCCAGGGGAGAGATGACAGAAGTGGCCCAGCAGGGCCCTGCGACAGTGGTGGAACGATAGATAGAAAAGGTGTCCCAGAGGGCCCCAGCCCCACGAAGGTCAAGGCCAGGCCAGTACTCCCTGCCCCGAAGTGTGCAGACCCCAGAATTGACCCAAATGTCCTTCCCACAGACCCTGTGACCCTTCACACCAAATATCCAGACCCCAGATATCCAGATCCAAATTACCAGGCCCTCAGCCTTGAACTCCAACTCCAAATCCAGACTTCTGGCCCCCTCAAGTCCAAACTCCTGTATTGATCCCCAGTCCCAGATATCCACACCCCCAGTCCTGACTCCCAGCCCGTCAGCTCCCAACCTCAAATATCTAGATCTTCCGCCCCAAGTGTCCAGTCTCTTGGCTTTGAGCCCCTAGGTCCCAAATATTCAAGCCCTCAGCCCTGACCTCTAAACCCCACTCAGAATCTAGCCCCAAATATCCAGACTCCTCAGCCCCAAACATCCAAATCCACCTTCAGGTCGGACACCAACCCCCGTTCCCAGATTTTCAGTCCAGTCTCTCGCAGACCCCATCTCCGTGTCTCTCACTCGCTCTCCCTCCCCGCCCCCAAATCTCGCACCCCTGTCCCTAGGCCGCACCTCCAGTGCTACCCGCCTCCCACCTTCCCAGAGTTGGGCGCAGCCCCACCTGCCTCCCACAGCTGGGACGGATGACCCCATCAGCCTGCCCCTCCACGGGCTCGGAGGCCCAGCTTTGCAGGCCTCCCAGGACCACCCCCGCGCCCGCCCCCTCCTCGGGCGGGAATCCCCGCCCCCTCCCCCTCCCCGCCCTTGCGCCGGCCGCCGCACTCACTCACTTTCTGGGCTTTGCGCGTCCGCTCCGGTCCAGGGAGAAGTGTTTAAAGTTCGGATCCCGCAGCCATGGCCCCCGCGGCGTCCTGGGGAGGGGGCACCGGGGCGAGGGGCGGGATGGGGGGAGATGCCCAGAGCCCCAGGGAGGCAGAGACCCAGAGGACGAGGAGAGGTAGTCTCTGAGACGCCGGGACTGGAGAGACTCAGAGACGGAAAGACAGCTAGGGAAACAGAGACGGGGAGACGAGCAGAGACGGGGAGATGCAGAGAGGGAGAGAGACAGCGAGACAGACGCGCAAAGAGAGCAGAGACGCGGAGAGCTGAGGACGGAGCTCCGGGCGGGAGCGCAGCGCAGCGAGCGCGGGTGGGCGCGCGCCGGGGACAGCCTGGCCGGCTGGGGGCGCGGGGCGGCCCTGCCTCCTGCGCCTTCTCCTCGTCCTCCTCTTCCTCCTGCTCCTCCTCCTCCTCGTCCTCCTCCCTCCACTCCTCCTCTGCGCGCCGCGCGCCTCCCGCCCTCGCGGCCGCCCGGCCGGGCTCGGCGCGCAGATATATGGAGGCGGCCGCGGCGGCGCGGGGGAGGGGGCGGGGGCGCGATCGATGGAATATAATTTTCCTCAAACTCGGAAAATAAAGTTCAGAGCTGATCAAATTTGAAAACAGATGTCGAATCGCGACTCTAAATAAGGTTCGATCCCGGGACTGAGGGAGTGGGGGTGGGGCGGGGGTGGGTGGAGAGGTAGAGAGACCCCCTCCTCTCCCCTTTCCTTCCCCTCCGTCCCGCTCCTCCCTAGGAGGACGCGCGGACAAACGGACAGGCGCGAGGTGGAGGTGGGGACGATGCGGCCAGGACCTCTGCTGGGCACGCAAACCTGGACCCGGACTGGAACACGGACCCGCACACACGCAGCCTGGATAGGAGACACACGGACAGAGGGACATATGGATACAGTAAGACAGTGCAAACACACACTCAGGGACACACAGCCCTACAGAGAGACGGACACAGACACACATGCACAGACCTGCCCTCTGTACACGCAGCACACACATGCCTACCGTCATACAGGAAGTGGAAACACAACCCGTACACGGAGACATTCAGGCACACACACAGAAACATATGCACAAACACAGCCTGCACACCACACCTTCTCCAACCCACAGCCGCTCCCTGATCCACTGACCCACAAACTGGACACAAAGACACCCAGATGCACGGTGACACACAGCCACACTCCACTCCCAAAACACAGCCTGGACACACAAGCCCTCACTGACACATAGGCAGAACCCAGGGCTGGCACACTGACACTCCCCTTCACACGCCCACAAGGTCACCGGCACCCACATGCACACCTGCAGTGACAGGGAACGGCCCTGCCCAGCCAGATCTGTTCCCATTGAAATAACAAGTCAATATCGACCAGCCTAAGGGCAGGTCAGACCCACAGTTCAGCTCCTGGCTGGACCTCCTCCTCCTGGCCCAACCTGACCCTCACCCTCACTGTCAACCTTCCTATCTCCTCCTTGCCCCTTACCCCTCACCCTGCCCTCTCCCCCGCTGCCACTGCCCTGCAACCACTTTTACGTCCCATTCCCAGGTCAGGCTCCACCCCACCAAGCCCCACACCAGCTTCTCTGGAGAAAGGCAGCTCTCACCAGGGCAGCCCCTGGAGGCTCCTACCCCCAGAGGAGAAAGTAGGTCTCACGGCAAGACAGCAGTCTCCAGGTGGATATGTGGGGGCCAGGACAGCTCTGTGGGATCTCACCAACCCCACCAGCGCCCAGGTGCTGAGACCAAGGTGCTGAGAGGCTAGAAGAGAACTTCAGCCCTGCCTGACAGACAGGGTTCAGCCTCACTCCCACTCACCACTCACTCAGGCAAGTCGCCAAACATCCCCAGCCTCAAGTTTCCTCATCTGCAAAATGGGACAATAATGACCTCCCTCCTAGAGTGGTTGGGAGGGTTAAACCGCAGGGCGCGTGGAGCACAGCTGGTACCGCACCAAGTACCAAATAAACACACATTTGCTGTGAACTTGCTGCTTCTGAATAATCCCATTAAAATATTAAGAATTTTACCAGAAAACAAGAATTCCTTCACTTGTCTGTACCTTTTCTGCAGTTGGACTGTAGGGAACATTCTTTCAAGGAGCCAACAGGCTTCACTGGGCTCCATTTACGACCCTTTCCCCCAGGGCCATGGTCCTCTGCGTGTCCACAACAGCCCCGGGACTGTCCACAGCCTACTTGAACACAGCTCCCCAGCTCCAGTGTTTGTGCATATGTTTCTGTGCGTGTGCCTGAATGTCTCCATGTACGGGTCGTGTGTTCCCACTTCCTGTATTACGGTACGTACGTGTGTGCCGCGTGTGCAGATGGCAGGTCTGTGTATGTGTATCTGTGTCTGTCTCTGAGTGTGTGTGTAACACCCAGCATACTACAGAGAGCATTCCTCCTCTACCTATGCCCAGTGCCTGGCTCTGAATGCCAAGGAGGAGGTTCCAGAACACCCCCTGTGGGGCAGGACTCCTCCCACACAGGACACCCTTTGGGAGAAAGGTGACACCCTCTGGGTAGATATGACTCCCTTGGCTACACCCTTCAAGAGAGCTGGGACACCATCAAGGCCTCAAGTCCACCAACTGGAATGCATTTCATGACCATTAAACCCCTGTGAAGAGGGACGGAACACCTAAGCAGAAAGAGCTCAATTGACTGTAGATAACACCCTTCAGTAAGATTGGACACCCTCTGGAGAGATACAGTTTATCACACCATACACGACACCCTATTGGAAAACAGAACATCTTTGGAATGTGAGGGACACCCTTAAGATAGCGAAGACCATCAGTCAAGAGGGCTTTAAGACTTTATCTCGAGGCCGAGACGGGCGGATCACGAGGTCAGGAGATCGAGACCATCCTGGCTAACACGGTGAAACCCCGTCTCTACTAAAAAATACAAAAAAAAAAAAACTAGCCGGGTGAGATGGCGGGCGCCTGTAGTCCCAGCTACTCGGGAGGCTGAGGCAGGAGAATGGCGTAAACCCGGGAGGCGGAGCTTGCAGTGAGCTGAGATCCGGCCACTGCACTCCAGCCTGGGCGACAGAGCAAGACTCCGTCTCAAAAAAAAAAAAAAAAAAAAAAAAAAGACTTTATCTCTAAACCACGCCCCTCTGGGAGACAGGAAAATGTCCCAGACTGTAATGTTAACACCTTTGAGGGGCTTGCAGTCCCAATCAGAGGGTGGGGAGGACCCCTCAAGGAGAGCTCTGATGCTCTGGGTGGGGAGGGGCCAGGACCCATTGCCCTGTGCATCCTACACACCGGTGGGAATAGGAACAGCACCGTCTGACTGTTCAGAACACCCTCAGCATCCCCCACCCCCAGAAGACACCGTCTGGATTTCTGGAACACCTTTTGGGGCTGTGCATTTTGGAAAATTGATGCTCCCTCTCTGAGTCCTAGGGTTCGGAAGGATTCATGAGAAGAAGACGTCGGAGCGTGCAGTGCCGCGTTAGGCACATAGTAGGTGCTCAGTGAAAGAGACCCCTCGCTGCACAGCATCCCCGCGGCCGGCAGGGGCACACGTTCCCTCGTTAGCAGTGTTGCCAACACTGCCTGCTTGGCTGAAGGAAGCGTCTCACAGGAGGGGGATCATTAAGCTGTACTTAACATCCCCAGGGAGGCTGCAGCAGCAGAAGACTGTAGTTAATACCCCACTGAGAGAGGACGCCCTCAGGGTGTTTAATGCCCCCTAGGAGAGGGGGAGACAGGGAGAGAGGGAGCAGGAGAATACCCTCACCAGCCTGTAACACCCAGTGGACTGAATTTATTACCCATGAAGGAGAGAGCATACCTCTGGGGTCTGTAATATCCGCTAGACTCTCGAAAACCCCAGGAGCAAGAGGACCCCTCCATGAGGGCTGTCGGCTTTCTCGAGATTGCTTTTAACAAAGATGCCTCCTGGTGCAGTGACAGCACTAAAGGTGACAGAGGGTGAAACCAGGAGCCCCCCACCCCAAGTTTCCATCTCCTTAACTCCCTCCCCACCACTGCAGCCCTCCCGGAACCACAAGAGCAAAAGGGGAGGTGGGGGTGGTGTGGGTGGGGGAGGCTGCATGGGGCCCAAATCCCAGCATGTCAGTAGTCATGACAATGACCGTTTAATGGGATTTGCCTGGTGCCCGGCACTGCCTAAACTCTATACACAGATGAACTCAAGCAAGTCTCACGGCACAACTCTAAGAGGTAGGTGCTCTTATAAGTGTCACCCCCACTTTACTGATGAGGAAACAGCCACAGAATCACTTGCCAATTGTCACACAGCTAGTTAGTATTAGAAGGGGACCTGGAGCCAAGCAGCCTGGCCAAGGGCTCTGTGTTCTTAACCACCAGGCTGCCCTGCCCTCCCCCCTGCCCCCATATTAGACTAGGAGCTTGTGCAGACAAGCGCGCTGCCCACACAGCTCTTCGTCCTCCCAGAGCAGGGCCCACCCTACCACTGTGTCCTCTGGCTCAGTATGACCGCCGGCCATCCCCCATCCCTCGGGGCTTGAGGCTCCCTGTGGGCAGGGCCTGTGCCTGATTCATCTCTGGGTCCCTGCTGAGGGCAAAGCCAAGCCCACAGGGCCTGGGGAGGAGGCAGGGAGGGAGGGAAAGGGGAGGAGGGAGGCACGGAGAGGACACTAAAGAGAGCAGGGAGGGAGGCGAGGAGAAGCTGGGCAGAGAGGGGCTGGGGAGAAGGACGGGGAGTCCCGGGGGAGATGGGGCTGGAGTTGGGCCAAGCCACGCTGCTGTGGATGTTGGGAGAGCAGAGGGAATGGGGGAGTCCAGTCAGCTGGGAAAGGGGTGCAAACAAACAGCATGGCCACCCCTCCCTCACCCCACCGCCTATCCCGGGTGGGAGAGGATGGACCGAGAGGGGCCTGGTGGGTGGAAGGATGAAGGCCCAGGATGAACGAGGTGCAAGGAGGGCAGACGGACAAACACAAGACAGATGGGAGCCAGGAGAGCAGGGGGAGGCAGCCAGCCAGCGCGTGTGCCTGGGAGTGGGAATTCAGACAGACAGACAAGGGTGAGAGAAAGGATGGGCGGCAAGGGTGTTGGAAGACTGGGGACAGATGTGGGGGCTGGTCCAGGAAAAGGACAGACAGACAGACTTAGGGCTTGGGGCTGGGGCAGGAGGGACAGACAGACAGAAGGAGGGAGGGGAGGACGGACAGAGGGCATCTGCAGAATTGGTGGGCAGATGGACGGAGGGACAGCCGTGCAGTGCGGCCGGCAGGGCCAGGGCCAGGCCGAGGGCGCGCGGTGGCGGTCGGCCTGGGGAGGCGGAGGCTGAGTGAGCGGCGGTGTTTGTGGAGCTGTCGGCTGCGGTGGAATTATGAAAAATAGCAGGCATCGGAGCCGGCCTTCAGCTTCGATTAGGGGAGATGGGACATGACAGGTGCGATCAATACGCAGCCGTTCTATAAAGTGTCAAGTAATGAATCAATTTCGACTAAATTTTCCATTTTTCAGAGGCCGTTCTCCGAGAGAAGAATATCCTCTTTTGTAAAGATATTATTATCGATTTCGGCGGCAATTTGACATCAGGGGTAGTTAATTCCACTCAGAATAAAATTGAAAACACTTGAGAGAGAAAAGAGAGAGGCGAAGAGTGAGACAGAGAGGGAGAGAGGGGGAGGGAGGGAGGGGCTGGGGGAGAGAGAGATGGATGGACAGAGAGACAGAGACAGGGAGACAGAGAAGAACAGACAGTGAGAGAGATGGGAGAGAGAAGAGAGATGCAGAGATGCAGAGACACGGAGAGAAACTTGGAGACTGCAAAGCCTAGAGTTATAGAGAGAGACAGGGACTGACAGAGACATTCCGAGAGACTCAGAGAGCAGAGACACCCTAAGAAAGGGCGACAGAGAGACAGATTGAGAGTGGCTCAGAGAGAAAGCCCCAGATGTTACTAACTGGCTACAGAGGAGCAAAGAAATGGACAAAGACAATTCAGAGAAAAAGACAGATGGAGGAGGGGGCAGGAGAAACTGATGACACACAGACAGACACACAGAAGTGAGAGGCTGAGAAACAGGAACTTAGGGAATTGGGGAGAGGGGTTGAGGGGTGTGGGGAACATGAGCAACAGAGAAAAGCGAGCCTGGCAGAGGAGAGGCCAGAGAGGCAGAGTGGAGGGGTCGGGGGCAGAGGGTAGGAGTGGAGCCAAAAGGCTGAGAACCTGCCAGGAAGCGGGGAGGAAGGGCAAGGGTGCCAGGAGAAGGGCAGAGGCTGAGGGATTGGGGCTGAGGGCAGATCTGGAGATGAGAGTTTGGGGAGACCCTCCTGTCCTACCCTGCTGTCCCCAAAGTCAGTTACCCTGAATGGGCAGAAGCTCGGTGTGTGTCCCTGAGTTCTGGTGTGCATGCATGTTGGCTGGTGTCTGTGTGTGTCCTTGTGTGTTGACTGAATCCTATATCCCATTATGTTTGTGTTTCCTGGACATGTGCACACGCGCGCACACACACACACACAATCTGTTTGTGTCCCTGTTCGTGCGCAATGGTGACAACATTTCTGGTTAGTGCCTGTCAGTCCCCAGCTGAAATCTCTATTTATCCCTAAGCAGGTCACAGGCTGCCTGGGAGGAAGAGAGAGGAAGTGGGTAGAGGATAGACCCCTGGGTTGTGAGAGAGAAGATGGCCCAGGACCTGTACTCCTGGGTCTGATGGAGGATGGTCTCAGATCCTGGGCTCCTGGGTCTGAGGGAGGAGGGGCTGGGGCCTGGACCCACTGGGTCTGAGGGAGGAGGAGCTGGGAGCCTGGACTCCTGGGTCTGAGGGAGGAGGGGCTGAGGCCTGGACCCCTGGGTCTGAGGGAGGAGGGGCTGAGGCCTGGACGCCCGCACTCCGTACTCCTGGGTCTAGAGGAGGATGGTCCTGATCCTGGCCTCGGGTCTGAGGAGGAGGGGTTGGCCGGGACCCACTGGCCCCGAGGGAGGAGGAGCGGAGCCTGACCTGGGTCTGGAGGAGTGAGGGGCTGAGGCCTGGCTCCCGGTCTGAGGGAGGAGGGCGGAGGCCGGGTCTGA